AGGAATGTTCCGGCAGAAACAGGCATGGCTCTCAGCAGAGTAGGGCCAATGCCCTTCCAGAAACCACCAAGACCCTCAATGGCATAGGTCTTCTTGAAGCAGTCGCGCATGGTGCTGTACTTTTGCTGCGCGCCGAATCCATCGGTCTGCATCTTACTCTTGATAACATCGAACGGGTAGCTGGAGAGCCAAAGGACCTCACCAGCCAGACCACCGTAAATGGCAATCTTTGCCTTAGAGAGATCTTCGCGCTTGACATTGTTACGCTTGGCATCCTGGTTCATCATGAATTCAAAGGCCATGAACCAAGCACCGTAAGCCTGAGCCTCACGGATGAGAGTAACTGCCTGACCGCGGTAAATACCGCGGAGGGTACCGCCCTGTGAGGCCAGCTTGCTTACGCAGTCGATAGGGCCCGAGTATAGACGGCCGGCGCCGTGGGGCTGTGCCTGCAAGCGAATACGCACATGCTCAATTGGGCCTGACAGTACTGAGTTGGTGATACCGGCGAATGAACCGGCCAAGTAGTATTGGGTGTAAGAAAGGGCTGAGTCGGCGTACTTCTTCTTGTTCATATCTTCCAAGCGGCGACGCGCTTCATGGTAGGCACCAAATTGGACAGACACCTGGATTGGTTGGTTAGAGGAGTTGTCTATAGTGGACCTTGGCCGCGGGGGTAACTCACGCATGCACCGATACCGATAAGCGGGGTTAGTGTGCCCTTATAGAAGGCCGAGGGACCTTCGTTCTTGAAGATCTGGGTTGCGCACTCTAGCGCACTCTTGTACTGAGTGGTAGTTTGCAGGCGCACCTTGACAATGTCTGCCGAGTTGTTAACCAATGCCTCCTGAGATGTGCTTTAAGCAGACCACATACCAAAGGGTTGACCTAGTTTCTTGTTAGCAATTGCTTTGATTTTTCATGTTTGAATATTTCCCCAAGAAAGCACCACTCATGGCAATATTCTCATCTCATGGTGTCCATGGCTTTCCCCCGGAATTCAAACAAAGTAGGGTGTGCACACATACCGAGGAGAACCTGGGCCATTCCACCTGCTGCGCCCGCGGCCAAATCCTTGATGGTGCGGAGGGCACCACCACCCTTATCCAAACTGTCAATTACCTCGGTCTCCATGTTTCAAAGAATTTAATTGCAATGACCAAAAGTATAGACAGGGACAAAATCCGGAGACTCCAGACTTTATATCCAACCCGCTTATCGCTAAGGCGCCATCTGCGCTCTGATTCGACGAGAATGCCGAATCACATGACTTTACCGGCGGACATTTTACATAAACATTTTGATACCCGCAGCTGACCTAAGCGGTGACATAAGCTCTTCCTCTCGAACTTCTGGAAAGGGAAAAAAGTTGACGGATCCCAGATGTGGATAGACTAATGAATGATGCATCCTCGGCCAGTCTGCAGGGTAAGTCCGCAGTTTTGAAGTGTTGCGACAGTATCTAACTAAAACTACAGCTATCGCGTCGGGCTGAGTGGTCGAATTCAGCCTACCGAACACCCACTCTAACAGCTCTCACGCTTCGACGGACCTTACAGTTATCCGCGACGCGTTGGAACTCGTCGGATCCATCGAGTGGGAATGATGATGGCACTGCTTCAAATACAGCGCCGGTGAAGCCCAAATTCGGCAGCCGATGGGGCCCTAAACAACATACGCCATCGGCGGGCTTAAGTTTCGCAGAACAAGCGATGCGCCAAACCCTTGTCGCCAATAGTCAACCGCCGCCGCCGCCGCTAGCACCTGCACCACCACAACGGAGGCGGGAACAGTCAAATCAACAATTCAACTCAGGGCAATCAAACCAGCAGAATAAACCGTACGTGCGGCGCGTGCCCCCTCGGGATAATCAAGATGTCTACATGAAATGGCCTAGAGGAACGTCACGGAATCAGGAGAGGACCCCGTCCACCCAAGAGCAGAATCCGTTTAAAAAAGAGAATGCAGATAGCCACATGAGGTGGCCCAAAGGAACCTCACGGAATCAACAAAGGAATCCGTCTATCCGAGGAACAAAACCGACATTTGAAGAAGAAAACCCGTTCGCCCCTGAAAAGACACAAAACAGATACCAGGGCCAAACTAGGGACCATCCGATGGCCCGCGACGACTGGAATTGCCCTCAGTGTATGAAACATGTTTTTGCTACAAAGCAAGTGTGTCCGTTCTGCAAAACCTCTCGACCCGACGACGCCCAGCCAAAGTTCCGAATAACCAGAGAGTATAGCGATTCTCCCAGACCTTCCCAGTCCAGACAGTCCCGATCCCCTTCTGAGTACGATAGAAAGTTCCAGCGGTTAGGGGATTCGGTTTTGTCTGAGCTGGAACAAGACGTCCAGCCGAGTACAACGGAAACCACTGGGCGCCATCCAAAGGAATCTGACCGACCCCAAACAAAGCAGGAGGCAGAAGATTTCAAGAAGAACCAATGGTCTTGGGATATGTCTGCACTGGAGCAGCTAGAAGACCTAGAAACACAAGAACAGCCGCCGCCGAAGCCTATGAAGCGCCGTGATGGACGTAAGGGACGTCAGAGTGAGTCTGATGAGGCCGACTTTGACTCGGAAGATCGCGAGCGTCTCCGCACAGAGCGGAGACGCCAGCAGAAAGAAAGGGACGCCCAAAGGGCTGCAAAGAAGGCCGCCGCGCCGGCAGCACCAGCTCCTCTTTACCTTCCCGAATTCATCAGTGTTAGCAACCTAGCCGATGTCGTTGGCGTGCGGCCGGCCCAGTTTGTGCAGCGAATGGAGGAGATGGGATTCGAGGAAATCACGTACAGGGATATTCTCGATGCAGAAACTGCCGGATTGGTGGCAGCCGAGTTCAACTACGAGGCCATCTTCGACAGCGGCAAGGAAGATCTATACGCTGCCCCTGAACCAGAGGACACATCTGATCTGCCATCTCGGCCACCCGTGGTCACCATTATGGGTCACGTTGATCACGGCAAGACCACAATCTTGGATTGGCTGCGCAAGTCATCTGTGGCAGCTTCTGAACATGGTGGTATCACCCAGCATATTGGTGCATTCTCCGTAATGATGCCTTCCGGGAAAGCCATTACCTTCCTTGATACCCCTGGTCATTCTGCATTCTTGGAAATGCGCCGCCGAGGTGCCGACGTGACCGACATTGTGGTGCTTGTGGTTGCCGCGGATGACAGTGTCAAGCCGCAAACTATCGAGGCAATTAAGCACGCCACCCAAGCCAATGTCCCTGTCATTGTCGCCATCAGCAAAATTGACAAGGAGGGGAGCAACCCTGACCGAGTTAAGGGTGACCTTTCTGTCCATGGTATCCACGTGGAAGACTATGGAGGTGAAGTTCAGGCTATCGGTGTCAGCGGCAAGACCGGACAAGGAATGGTTGAACTGGAAGAAGCCGTTATCGCGCTCTCGGAATTGCTTGACCACCGCGCAGCTACCACCTGCAACGTTGAAGGCTGGGTCATTGAGGCCTCTACAAAGTCTTATGGCCGTGTAGCATCCGTTCTAATTCGACGTGGAACCCTGCGGCCGGGCGATATCATAGTTGCCGGTACTGCATGGGCTCGTGTCCGCACCCTCCGTAATGAAGCCGGTGTAACCATCGGCGAAGCCACGCCTGGAATGCCCGTCGAAATCGATGGTTGGAGAGAGCAGCCGGGTGCTGGCACCGAGCTCCTACAGGCACCGACTGAGCAGAAAGCCAAGGACGTCGTGGATTACCGCTTGGAGAAGTCTGATACCCAGAAGATGGGTGTCGATATCGTTGCCATCAATGAGGCTCGTCGTGAAGTTCTCGAGAAGCGTAGGCGCGATAAGGAAGAGGAAGAAATAACGAAGGAAGTCGAACCAACGGGTCCCAAGTCGGTCAATTTCGTCCTGAAGGGCGATGTGGACGGTTCCGTGGAGGCGGTCTTAAACTCCGTTGCAGCAGTCGGTAACAACGAAGTCTTTGCCAATATCATCCGTTCGGGAGTTGGTCCTGTCAGTGAATTCGATATCGAACATGCTGGCAGTGCCAAGGGCAAGATCATCTCGTTCAACCAGGTTATCGATCCTAATATCATGCGTATTGCAGAGACCGAGGGCGTCGAAATTCTGGACCACAACATCATTTACAAACTCATTGATGACATCAAAGCCATTCTCAGTGAAAAACTGCCTCCATCGGTCACTATGCGTGTGACCGGAGAAGCTGAGATCCAGCAGGTGTTCGAGATCACTATCAAGGGACGTGAAAAGACGGCTATTGCTGGAAGTCGTGTTCGTAACGGCCTGATCCACAAAACTCGCAAGGTCAGAGTGCTTCGCGGTGAGGAGATAATCTATGATGGTAAGTATATCACAAGCAGCTCAACACAAGTAACTTGTAAGGTTGGACCAAACTAACTTTCCACAACAGGCACGATGGCTTCCCTCAAGAACGTGAAGAAAGATGTCATCGAAATGCGCAAAGACACAGAATGTGGTATCGCCTTCGAAAACTGGACAGATTTCGCACCTGGTGACCATATCCAGTGCTACGAAGAGATCTCTGAGAAGCGTTATCTGTGATATCTCAGACAACTCCTTGATCTCAAGATCTGTGCGGTCGTGATGACCGCTTGTAATATTTGTTTGGGTCATCTAACACTCTCCATTCCCCTCATGATCTTCATTCAAATTTTGTATTATATTTTCCGTTTTCTCTCGACATGGTTGACTTGCATTCAGGGTCTCGGCGTTGGTGCATCCCTATTTACCAGGGGCCGGAAGAAAAGCATACAATCAATGTAATCAGGAAAGGTGCTGCTGTTTCAGCGCAGGTGTGTGTATATGTTAAAATATCATGGCCAAATGGCCACATTATCATTCATTTCTTTCTTTAAAGAATAGCCGCTCATTCGTGGCCCAACGTGCGAGAACCCCTGGCCTTCCCATCCCAAAATAAATGTACGCGAAAGAAATACACACGAATGTTGAGAAAAGAACAACATCAAGAAGATGCTGAAATCGCTACAACTGATACAACACACCACCAGCTTCCGCAAACTTCTGCTGATACTCCTTCAAGCTCGCCCATTGGCTCAATTCTTCTTGATCGCGCTCATAATCACATAGATAGCTCATAGCGCGGCCGTTCATCTGCGGACTGACGCCGTCTGCAGGACTGGCTGCATCACCCATGGGAGAATGGCATTCCAGTCGCACAAGCACTTCGATGAATGCGTGCAAGTAGGACTCCGCCTCTGAAGCGGTGAGAATGTGAAGGCCTGGCGGCGCGGTTGTTGGTGATGGTAATGGTGCGGCAGCGGTTGTGAGGTCTGGGATTTCGGTATTGGATTCATTTGGCCGGCGGGAGAGGCTGAGGAGGGTGGAGGCTACTTGTCGGATTTTATTGGTCTGTAAAAAATGTCGTTTTGTTAGTTTGATACATGGTAGATAGTGATATTTTGAGTAAAGGGGACGTACAATGCTTGCGCCATTCGGCTCCATGTTCACTTCATTCACTGTTCGTAGTAGCACGAAGAGATCTTTGATGACCAGTTTGCGCTCTTCGGCCATCATGCGGCCAATATAGTCTGTTTGTGCATGGGGTTGAGCTTGGGTGTCGGTTTCTGACGGAGCTGTACCAGTGGGAGTCGCACTCGCACTCGGTACCGGATTGGGTCTTCCTTCGATATTGATATGTGGTGTGGTGCTGCCCGGGGTCGTGAATCTTGGTGATTTTCCGTACTTTGAAAAAGTCTCGAAAAGGCTCCAGTACTTCTCAACCAGGCAGGACCTGGTGCATAGCTGACTAGCGTATATATTGGCTTTCTGTATCTCATATTGTATAGCACGTCGTTCTTGATGGATACGATCATTTGAGTAGCTGAAGATTGTATCATCTCCGCCAAGACCTGACAAACCCGTCGGGGATATGTGTTTCGCATGGTGGAGGGACAACTCAGCGGGAACTTCGATTAGTGCAGACTTTGCTTTCTTGAGACAGTCCCAAATGCAGTTGCGCTGGTGCTCCCAATCAAAGATTTGACCGCTGCCGAACGCTATTTCCCAAGCTAGCAGGGTGGTATATGAACTGAAGATGCGGACATTTGCATTGAATCCGACTAGCTGTGAAACTCGGTCGGATGGCTGGGGCTCAACGTGTGTTGAGAATAGAAATTCATCGTCGATCTCCAGCGGGAGGGGTGGATAGCGGTCCGTTGACATCCCTGGAGGAGCAAGAACCTTGATATCCGAAGAGCCCATCTGGTATAATGTCTGGTATCCGACAAAGGTGACATAGAACAGACGCCGGCCGAGCTCTTGAGTGATGAGGTCGACACCTTGGCTTTCCGTAAAATTATGTGCTGGTTGTTCTTGCGCCATTGCTGAGGTTGGTGACAGCGGGCTGTGTGGTCCTAATGTCGAGGACGGGCGGTCGGTGGTAGTCGGAGACCGGCATAAATCATACACTTGAAGCATGGCTCGGCATTCCGACAGATACACACGGCACCGGCGCATGTTGTAAATATAGCCGGCACATATAGCGAGAAAATAGCTGATCGCTGCATCGTAGACTGTGGCGTTGCGATCAAGATATCCGGCCCCGCGAGCTTGGATGGCAACGTCAAGGCATCGCTTTACTAGAGCTATAGAATTGGGGAAAGCTGTGCGTTCGGCTTCAGTGTTCAGTCGGAGTTTAGGTCGTCGAGGAAAGGAAGCCACTAGCAGTCCAATCATTGACGCTAGAAGCGCCAAAAAAGTGTGGTTGGTTACATCTTCCCGGCGCTCAAAGGCTGCTCGAAAAGAAGGTTCATGTGGAATTGGGACCAAAGGATGGATATAAGTAAAAAAGTCATCGAGCAACATCTGCATCGTGTGCAAAGAGCATATTGACTCCGCCGAAAGAGGTAACGATGTAGATTGAGGGCTGATAAATGGCGTTGCTAGGGGAGTCGTCGTCGCCGACGGATAGTCTGCCGGGCTCAGCGACGCTGCATCTTCCGGTTCCCGCTTTTGTTTCTTAAATGACTCCGCATGGCGGTTAGGAGGCCCGCGGCGTCTGCTTGGTCTTTCATAGGTGCAGGGAATATCCAAGCTAGCGCACGACCGACAAGGCGGCCCACCAGTGTCACACTTACATAGAAATCAGTATTTTCCGGAAGATTTATGACAAATAGACCATACCTTCACTTTCCGAATACTACAGGCATCGCAGGCCTTGCGCAGTCTTGTTTTCAGGTCCATCGATGAGCAAATTGCCGGGATGACCTCACCTCGAAACGTCAGGTCATATTTACTCGGCCCAAGACAGTCAGTACATTCAGACTCCAGGCTTAACTATGAACCGGAAGAATGCCGAAATCCGAGTCCCGAAAGTCGGAAATAACCCAGGAACTTTAAAAGCTGAAGCTCTGGAAATCTCGGGGAAGAGATCCGGGATCTCAGGTTTCAAGGTCCGGGGCTCACACTTCCGGATTGCTAAGCGGGTCAAACCTGCAGCGCCTGGAAAATCTGGGGTACTTGAACTCTGCTGAGGCAATTATTTAAACGATATCTCCGATGATCTACCCTCGAGGGATGACTTATGAGGGTTATATTGTGCTCACATTCACAATAAAAAGAAAACACGTCTCGGACCGTGCTACGGTCACGTGCCACTTCAATCCTCCCGAGGTCTTTTTTACGAAATTAATCAGGTAGAGAGAATTACAATGGGATTGATCAAGAATCATTGGACTGTGCTCAGCTCCTTTCTAGTGACACAGAACAAGGGTGAACCAGGAATCAGAAATGGAAAATTATATGCATTTTGCAATAACCTCCAAGTCGCCCGATATTGTTCACAGGTTATGGCATAATATCATCACGATATTGCTCACCTAGTCGACTGGATTGCTGGTTGACAGCTCGTCGCTTGCGTTCGAGATCCGTCACCCAAAGTGCCGACCCAGCAGCCGTGGTCATCAAAAATAGCATAGAGAAAGGAGGAATAAGTTGAAGGATCAGAGCCACCGTCCCAAACCTAGAGTGTGTGAGATTTCATATAGACAGAAAAAAAGGAACGTGACTTACGTAGTGTACTGCAGCTGACGACGGCTAATACTTTCCTTTCTCTGCTGCTTGGACATATCCAGCAGGTGAAAGTAACGCCAGTGATGGAAGGGACCGGCACGATAGCCAGTCAACAGTAGGAACATAGGAGTACCGGCCACCGGAATAAAGATAAGTGGAAGAAGAATGATAAACTCGGCGATCTGCCGCAACGAAAACGGAGAATACACGGCACTGGTGGTCGGCGTGCCTAGACGCTTAGCCGGGTTGCCGGGCTCGGGATAAATAACCCGCGAAGTGGTAACAAGCTCCTCCTGGCCCTCATTCACTAACACTGCATCGAAGATATCCACTAGAGTCTCATCGACAAAGAATGCCTCGAAGAGCGCGGCAACAATCGCAGCTCCTTCACCAAGCACCAGGAATGCGCCACTGACCCATGCTGAGTTGCCCTGGAAGATGGCAAGGAAGGCAACCTGGGGCAGGTAGGTAAAGAAGAAGAGAATGAAGTATATGAAGGATGAGAGGAGGACGATGGGGAGAAGGCGAGCCTTGAAGAGAGGCCATAGGAACCGATTCGACGCAAAATAGTAGATTCCCTGTTTAGGTTAGCCATGAAGCTTTGGAAACTCTCAAAATAACATACTCGAATAGGATACAACCAAGCAGCCCGACTGGGATCCAGGAGTTGCGACATGACTTGTTGGTTCACAGTTTCAAAGAATCCATGCCAACGGCAATGAACGAGTTCGAAAGCAGGCAGCACATTATCGATAAGCTCACACGTGATCCATGGATATCATCCGGGATGACTAAGCCAGTACTATTTCACCGAGAAATTTTTCGCCGAGCGCCCTTTTCCTTTTCTTCTTCACATAAACTGAATTCCTCCCTATTCACTCTGAACTTTTGTTACAATCACTGTTCTGGAGGGGAAATGGGAGGAAAGACCAAATCTGCTGGCTTACCCCAAACTCTTCTACTAAAGTGTGGAGCGTTTGGAAATATATTCGGCTGTACATTCCTATTCCTCCTTTTCAAGCCTCTTTTTTGTGGTGCTTGGAACCTTTACTCAAAATTCAATGTTGGAAACCTTGGCTTAAAGCCAATGGAAGTGAATTTCGTTTTGCTCCAGACTGTGACTGTACAATGCCCGTTGGCTGTAGATCTGGTGCCACGGCATCCTTCCATCCCGCACCAACGCGATCAACCCATATAGCTTGCATGCCTGTAGCACACGCCCCGACAATGTTGAAGGGGTTGCCGCTAATCAGCAGAAGTTTGCTCATCTGCGATGGGTCTTGGCTTGTCTGCTTCGCTAGGTGCTCGTAGCTTGCCCTCGATGTTTTATATTGCTGGGCTTGGTCTATGGTGACGGTCCACGACGGTGACGATACCTGGGAAGAAGCTCGCGTGCGGCGAAAGGTCCTTGGGCCGCAACACCGACTTTGATACCATAGTTGTCGCTCCGCTGGAGAATATCACGGCTTGGATGGCTAGGTCAGCAGCTATATGGGCCAAAGCTTCAGAAAACGTAGAAAGACTGTCGTAAGCTTGCATCAAGTGTTGGATGTTGTCGTCGCTCATCTGCTCATTGTTGTCGGCTAGTGCGTGCAATAAGCTTCATTGCGGCCTTTTTAATCGTCAATAATTTGACTGTCAAGTTTGGAAGCGTTGCTTGCCCATGCTGTTCAATCTCCATGTGTACTCTAGCTGATACCGCCTCCAGAGCGCGGAGATCGACTGCGCCTTGGCATTGTCATAATGTTTCTCTAGGTGTTCGGCGATCGATTCAGTTGAGAGTAAAGTATCATATAGATCAAAGGCGACAACTGTTTTGGCTGTCATGATGTTTCATAAGTCTCAATGCCAAAAACAACCAATTTTGAAACCTTTGAAGAATGTCGAAGAATCTGGCTGGAAAATGATGTCAATCTTCCGTGGGGCAAAACAAACTTGCCCAACGCGCTCTCCAGAGCTGTAAGGTCAAGGCTTTTCTCCTAATTAAGTCTCAATGACTTCCAGCGAGAACTATGCTGTATTCCGCGAATGTCTGTCTAATGCCATTGTGGCCCGCTCTGAGGAAAAACCAAAACCAACACGACGGAAGCCAAAGGGCAAGCGCACCGAGCGCAAAGACGTAACAACCGCGACAACAGTCCCAACCAGGAGAGCAGACCCAGAAGAGCTCGCCGAATTTGTTGATGTACATACACCCAGCCAGTCAAACCCAACACAAAGCAAAGCAACCCAGTCCTCACACAGCTGACAACTAACAAGACCCAAAAGCTAACAACCCCAGTTCCTAGCCTCAGAAACCTTTACTATATTCCCAGACCCCCTCAAAACCCTAAGCTATGCGGCCATCCAACATGACCCAACCCTATCAACCCTCTACATCCCCCCAGACACCGACACTCCCCTCTCACGCGCCACCCTCGAAACCTTATTCTCCCCAATCCCAGTTAGCGTAACCGAATCGCTACTAGTCTACGGCATAATTCCCGACGCATCAGACCTGCTGGACTTCCTCGCGCCTGTGCTTTCAGAGTACACATCGAGCGTGACGACCGGCCCGCCGGCGTGGGCAAGCACGCGCGCGGACGCGTGTGAGATCTGCGAGCGCGACTGGATCCCGCTCTCGTATCATCATTTGATTCCGCGTGGGGTGCATGCGAAAGTTGTTAAAAAGGGCTGGCATGATGAGTGGATGTTAAATAGCGTGGCGTGGCTTTGTCGTGCTTGTCACAGTTTTGTGCATCGCATGGCGAGTAATGAGGAGCTCGCTAGGGAGTGGTTTACTGTTGAGAGAATTTGTGAGAGGGAGGATGTGCGGGATTGGGCTATGTGGGTTGGGAGAGTTAGGTGGAAGGCAAGGTAGAGGTAGTTGAGGTCTATTTATGGTTATAGTATTTGATTGCAAGGGTTTATCTGAGACTCGAGGGGATACATCATGAAAACAATACCACACTGCCTATGGTCTATTTGGGTCAGCTTGAAGGTATGTAGGTACGCACACATGGATGTACATCACGAAGGGACCAGCGAGGGCCCAAACATGTTACTATTTTGTGGCTCAGTCTGAATATAGCTTCGTATTAACTTGTAGTTACAAGTAAAGAATAGTTCGACATAGATAGTTAGAAAAACAGAGGAAATAGTCTGTGAAATATGAAAGAAAAAAAAACCACACGAAACAAAGCCTCCAAAATTAAAAATATAAAACACCTAACTTCCTCCCAAATTCAAAATTAATCCCGAGTAACAGTGGCAGTAACAGTCTCAGTAATGCGATCTGTCACCGTTTTTGTCTTAATCTGGGTCTCAGTGATCGTGATAAAGCCAGACGGCGTAACCGGGTTCACAGTAAGTATCCCTTGGTTTGGTTTGGAGGTTGAGGTAGCAGATGTGGAAGTGGAAGTGACGTGGGCTATCACAACAGGAGCAGTCTCAGTTAAGGAAGGCAATGACGAAGACACAATAGAAGGTTCCGATGTGGTCGAATAAACGGTTACAGGAACAACACTTGTGGATGTAACGTGGGCTGTCACAATAGGAGCAGTCTCAAGTGAAGCAGTCTCACTCAAGGATGGCATCAATGGAGCGGATATACTCGAGTAAACAGTCACTGGGAAAACACTTGTGGAAGTGACGCGGGCTGTCACAACAGGGGCAGTCTCAAGTGGAGCAGTCTCACTTGAGGATGGCAACAACGGAGCATATGACGATGTTGTCGAATAAACGGTTACTGGAACAACACTTGTGGAAGTGACACGGACTGTCACCATAGAAGCAATCGCACTTGAGGATGACAACAAAGACGAAGAAGGAAGCGATGGTGTTGTCGAGTTGACGGCCATAGGAACAACTGACGTTGCACTGGCATAACCAATCTCCATAGGCGCTGCATTCACACTCGGGGCGCTCCCAGTTGAGGACGGCAAGACCGAAGATGAAGAAACAGGTGATGGCAATGTTGGGTAAATAGTCACACGAACGACCGACGTTGCGGTGGAATGTATAGTCACAAAATTCAAAGATGTAGTTGTCGGTTCAGCAGGCGGTTGTACCGTTGGTTTTGCTGACGACACCGGTGAGTTGTTGACACTGGGTGTGTGATGGATGACGCTTGTTGAGAAAGGACTTGGTGCTCCTTTGGTCACATATACGATCACAGGCTCGGTTACGGTCAACACTGGCTTGGATCCCGACGTGGGAGGCTGTAGTGATGTAGATTTTGTCTGTGTACCTTTTGCTGACTGGATGGCATTGGATGTTAGGATCACTGGTGTGGACGTGGAAGGATTGATGCTGCTTGCTCCTTGAGGTACAATAGCTCCAATAGCCAGGCTGCTACTTGTGGGCACTGTAGGAACAGTCGCTGGCTGTATGGTCGTAGAAGTCGAGATTGGTGGTGTGGTTGTAGTAGCCTTGAGGCTGCTTACTCCACCCAGAAGTTCAGCCGATGAAGATTGAGCTAAGCTCGGTATCACCAAGGAATCAAGGGAAGACGTTGAGCCTGGAATATAGGTAGATAATGAACTAGTTATGGACGTTGAACGCAGTATTCCTGGGGTTGTGGACGAGGATATGAATTGCCGAGTCATAGTGGACGTATGAGAGGTAATGGTTGGCACTTGACTTGTAGTTGGCTGTTGAGTGGTAGCCGGCACATGGCTTGTAGTCGGTACATGGCTTGTAGTTGACTCCTGACTGGTGATCTCATGAGTTGTGGTTGGCTTTTGAGTGATGGTTAGCTTAGAGGTTGGTTTAATTTGTTTAGATAAGGGTAAGGTACTATTGGCTCTTCGTCCGTGAACGGTTGGTGGGTAGGTGCCGCCAAAGGCGTGATTTCCGTGATACCCCCAGCTTCACGTCGTTCGAGATCAGGCAACAGGGGGAAAGAAGTCGGATCAGGTGCCTCCAATGACCGGGATAGCCAGCGAGAGATCGGACCAGCCGAGGCTATCCATGGCAGAAGAAGAAACAAAAAGAACTGAAAGCGAAGCATCCTGATTTAGAAACGAGAGGATTGGAAATGACCGGGACACGACTTCGATAAAGTGGGACAGTAAAGAAAATTGGGTGCTCAGTCAAAGATATACTAGACCACCTGAATAAGATAGACCCAATCACCTGTGTAAGAAAGCATGGCAAAAGAGAATAATAGGAAATTAATGGGAACGCATACAAGGCCTAGGAGGCGTCTTGATGGCTTGCAAATGAAAGAATGGCTGGATCACTAGGGACCACGGAAACGAAGGGAAACAAAAGAATGGAGTAAGATGAAGCAACCTGAGACTTTAACAGGAAGGAGATTTTTCTTTCAAGTCTGTCGCCATCGAGGATGCTGGCTGGTATATCTGCATTTTGGGGTTTCATCAGGGGCCGGGTTGGGCTTAGGGCTTCCTGTCAGCCGCCCATTGTTCCAACCTTGGCTTTTCCATGAATAAATCCAAAATAATCTAGTACTATTAGTCCCAGGGAAAACCGCCATTGCAAGGGGTTCTTTGTGGGACGGAATTTATGCTAGAAATAGATCGCGCGACAAAGAGACATTGCAGTAGACGTTGCAGTAGGCGCCCTGCCCTGGTCGATGGCGCGTGGTGATTGGCTGGCTGCAGGCGCAGGACCACTTTTGTTATTATGAGAGTTTCGTGTTGACTGTATTTTTTTATGGTTCTTGTCCGATATGTATTACGAGTGAACTAGGTATATTGACAGTAAATGTGCAGGATATAGAAAGCATGTTGGGTATCAATATATATTCATCGCTATTAGGTGACTCAAATGTCTTTTGCCATCGAGTGAAGGGCGGGAAGACATATGCTAATAGATACAGGAGTCAGGTCACTCACAAATTTTAATAATACAGTAAAAAAAAAAAAAAAAGAACGAGAACATGCCAAAGTCGGACTTAACCGCCTTGTTCTCCTTCCAGGGTCGAGGCTGATCTGAAGATTCGCTTCATCTCGTAATTCGTGGAAATGTATGAATTGGGCAGAAGCTCCACAGCGACCTCAAAATCAAGAAGCGTCACAGTCCGACTTTCTCTTGCATACAGAACATTGTGCATCCCTGCGTCATCCAGACGAATGGAGATTGACCGAAGTGCGTGGATTGCCTTCAAGCATTCACCTTCAACATAAACCCGCTCGTCTGCGTTCAGGCTATGCCATATATCAGAAAGTAGTTCTCCCTCACGACGTTCCAGGATAATCGCATAACCTGCTGGAAACAAACTTGAGCACAAGATATTCCCCCTTGCGATGCACTTGGGAAAAAGATGATGGCCGGCCGGATGGTTCTTGTGGAGGCGATCATACACAGCAGCTTCAGTGTCGAACCTATATCGACATAATCAGTACAAGAAACTTGACAATAGAATATAGCATAACTCACATTCTTTCCAAGTGGGGTGTCCAGCATTTCAAAACTCTTGGAACGCCATTGGTTTGTGCCAACCAGACTGCCTTTTCTTGGATACTGGGGTTTGACATCTGTTCGGTGCAGTTGGCAACTATGACAGTTTGGGTGCCGCATTCAATAGCCACACTCCTGGATGTGATGGTCTGTTGTGTGTCTGCAGATGGTAATTCTTGGGCGTAATAGGCTTGTATCCTTTCCGATGTTCGGGCAGAGGGAGCACCTCTCAACTTTTGTAGATGTCAACAACTGTCTATAACTACGTCCCAAGGCCACTTAAGTATGCACTTACCATTGCTGCAATGTTAGGGTGAGTCTCATCATATGTAGTTCGGATCAGATAAGGCCATGAGAGAGAATCTAAAGAATAGTTCACGAACTGATGGGTTCTGAGAATTGTGGGGGAAAGGCCTGGAAAGGCGAAAAGAAAAGTCGTTCACTCGCTTCACGAAAAGAGTGGAGGTGTATGTGGTAAAAAAGGCGTATCCAACGTGGGACAATCGCATCTGTATTGAAAGTTGTCCTAGAAGGGAGAATAACGTCAGCGGAGTTTAAACGACAGTATATTACAACCTGCCCCTGGACTGGCGAGTTACAAACTAGGCCAAAAGACCACTATATCTGAGCATTACGCTCAGATAGACCAGGCTCCGATATATATAGTGCATGACATGACACAGCATGAGTTATTGTAGGTATAAATACCAATGAGCGCTTCTAACTGATGATCGGGTTCAGGGCAATTGATTGTCATTTCTTGAGGGGTCACAGTCCAGAACGTCTTGTATTCGCCAACCATGTAAATGCTGTCAGAAGAAGGAGCATCGGGACTCATGAGACCGAAGATAACGTCTGGGATAACACGGCTGGCGGTGATGACGGATTGAATATCGCCGAAGCGTACCGAGGACATTTGCGGTAGTGGTATCAATGCCTGCATGACAGGGTTGCAGAGATTTTGGATGATTCTTCCGGTAAGACCGAGTTCACTGCCCACGACGTAGACTTCTGATTCATTGTGGATAGGGACGTCATGATCTAGAGGCGTCGACCGGAACAAGGTCATTATCTCTTCCACAAATGAGTCCCAGTATCCCAGATACGCCAGAGATACACGGTCTTTGACTGTGTAATCAGGATATCGAAATATGTATCTCAAAGTGAAGAGAGGTCAAACTGAGATGAAACTGAGATGAAATTGAGATGAAATTGAGATGAAATTGAGATGAAATTGAATTGCCAGATAGAAGAGTAGGTCAAACAGCAAAAGAAAAAAATCAACAAGCAAGACGGCGAACAAACAGAGGAATCAGAGTTGAAAGTGAGTGGGGTAGGTAACTATACGCAGCGGGTAGTTAGGTAGTTAGCTACGGGGTTAGCACTAAGCCTATTTGGAAACTACTAGGGATCATGGGATTGTATGACACCTTTCATTCAACTAGTCATCACTCGACACACTACTATATTATAAATGAGTCAGACTATGAAGTCTTCACCTCGAAAGTCCCGCTAATGCCCTCGAATGGCGAGACTTGACCAGAGAAATTCTTTGAGTCTCCATAATAATGCATCCGATAGGTCCCAGCCTGCAGGGGGATGATGTGTCGACACTATAATACTCATCCTCAATTTCCCATTGAATTGTCACCTCACTGTGGCCAAGAATCTCATTGGTCCGTTCCCACATGAAGACCAAATTCCAGTCGCGGTCATTGCGCACGACCTCCCATGCACCATAATCGCTTTTTCTTTCAACCGCAGCGTAGGTCGATTCGAGGTGCAGATTATTGCGGGGATTGGCGCCCACAAAGGTCGTCTTGACAATATCTCCGGGGCCATAGGGCCCACCCTCCGGGTTTGAAGTCACATTTCCAAAGTCCTTGCCAATGGGCGCTCCGTCATACATAACACCCGTAATGAAACTCAATGAATGGTTGGTGTTGATTGGTGGAGTGGGGCCAGATTGGATGACTGGAAGTTTGGCAATTTGCGAAGAGTTTCCCAAATACGGCAGGTAAGTGAGGGTCAGATTGACATAGGCTGCTAGTGTGTTGGCGCCGTAGAGTGTGGACGCGCCCTCGTAGCGCTGAGGGCCGTACTCTTCTTCTGTTGCCACGTAGTGGGCGTAACTGTTTGATGGGGCTCCTAGTACCACTATAGGGTCGGAAACAGAAAGGTAGTCCTTTGCTCCTTTCGCAATAGCTTCCTTCCAGCGTCGCCCAGACATCGTAGTAGCTTCGCTGGTGGAGATAACAAGGAACAGCTGACCCACTCGCAAGACCTGGATGTCAACAATATCCGCGGCCCATGGATAAGGTTCAGTGAGAGTGCCAATATCCAATAGCACTTCCTTGGGGCTTTGGCACTGTTTCTGCGTTTGGCTGGGCTGGTGGATAACTGCACGCGCAACTTGCCACAGGGGGTTGCGTTCAGCTGGACCAGTGGCATTTTGGGTGAAGTCAAAGGCACCGGGTCCGTCTGTAGTTCCGGCGGCAAAGGAGTACCCCAGAGCCGCAGGACAAGTCGTCAACGTACTGGAGTTGAACGGGGAGGGGAAAGTGTAGCCATCCATGTCTTGATATACGTGGAAAGACTTCACCGCAGAACTTCCAGTAATTTTGATAGGGGTTTTATCCATCTCTTCGTATAGCTTCTTTGCTGCTGAGTACTGGCGGCGCCCAATTTCGAAGCAGCTCTTCGCTCCGTTGTCGTTCTCACGGAAGAAAGGCCCTCGACCATGGCAGTCCTCGTTTCTGCCACCGCAAGTGCTATCTTCATATCGACACATCTCCCCAGAGCCGTCTTCGCACCAAGCCCCCAGGATGTTAGGGGATGTGTCCCCGACACTCGCTTGGGAGAATCCAATTACGACATCGTCAGTGAACCTTGCATCGCCGTCGACACTGCGCTCGAAGAGGTAAGCTGCGACACCTTTGTTATCGCCACTGACCAAGGTGTTGTTGTTATACATAGATGTGCCATGAACAGGGAACCATGTTAGGATAGCCGCTGTTTTGTTGTCGGATTCGCGATCAAATCGAATGAGCGAGAGTGATTTTTCAACATTTGTAGAATACCGTGCCCGTTCTTCCTCGGGATTGTGCTCATATGAAAAAGGACTTCGATTGATATTGGTGTCGTGTAAGTCGATGGATCCAAAAGAGAGCCGACCTGGCGCCAAGTTCTCATGGGCACGGACAATTGATAAAATAGCGCCGTCGACAATAGCTTGATAGCTTTGTTTGTTGAATCCCAATGCCGGGATCTGAGGCAGCAAGTAGTTCATCCACGCTCCAGGCCCGGAGTGCGAATGTGTTCCCGTCATTGCGACGTTGTGTTCGCCGTACCGTGCATACTTCCCACCGAGCGCAGTGAGACCCTCTAAGATACCATGTCGCACGGCCGTGTCACCGGTAAGCGTGTCGAGAACTAGGTACATAAAAGTGTCATCGGGCTTGTCTGGGTCTGCGAAGATGAAGGCGCGAGAATACAGTCTCTGCCTTAGACCTGTGCCTAGTTGGTCCAATCTGGCATAACCAGCGAGAGTAAGCTCCACAACGGGCCTGATGATCATATTAGCCAATTTAGTACATTTATATGTCGAAATTAAAGCATAAACGTACCCAGTTACGTCTGCCTTGCCCGCTCCAACCAAAAAGATATCGTCAGCTGCCGCCACGCTTGCTCTGCTTTTCCACTGGTTGAAGTTTGAACGAAAGCTAGGCAAAGGTGACTGGCTATCGAACTTGAATACCGCAATCAGCTGCAAAAACACCAGGACTGCAAGAGTCACCCCAGCAAAGGTAACGCCTATGCGAAAGTTAGCCATTATTGGGAGGATTTGCCGATATATCCCAAGTAATATATATTTATGGCATCTGCAGAAGAGACGCGCTGAGTAACGGTAACCCTTGGAAAGTTGAAATCCCAAGGGAGGTATGGATTCTTATACAAGTGTACTAGTGATACACTGGGAAGACCAACGAGCTGTTTGTAAGTGCAGAAGATCATTACCCAAGCTTGGGAAAGCAGCCGAACATTATTGTACATGAAGTGCTCGGTAGGTGACATTCATCCAAGCGATGTAGGGATTAGGACCGTCATCCATTGAAGTCCGCACACCGAAAGGGAATAGACTTTCGCTGCACTCCCCGCATGGGGGATGAGATGTGCCCGTATGCCCACTGCACATGTGAAGACTGGAATGCCTCAATTTTTAGCCAGTCGGCGAGTTAGGAACTTGCGTTAGGCCTCAGGCATATCGCGTAAAAACAATCCAAACTGGATAGGATCATCGCTGCAGTCAGGAAAGCATGCTAGAGAGCAATGCCATTCGCCCAAGCATTTCCCCGGACTCCCAAATGCTGGTTTTTTGCTGCAGAAACATACAACATACAAAACACATCGCATGACTTTAATTTGGCTGTGAGGACATTTATATTAGATAAATTAATTACCATTAAAATTGTTAGCTACACTATTCATCTCGTATGTTTCCGCCTCGGTGCATATAAAAGTAGAGGTCACGTGCTAAATGATGGCCTGCGCTGATCTCGCCGCTTCACTCACCGCCTTCACAAAGCAATGGTTCTCAGATTAATCTACTGGTCTTCACCTTGACATCCATACAAGAACATCACTCCAAAATGCCGTTAATCAACGAATCTCATGACTCGCTGCCATGTATGTACATAAGGTGGACAAGATACGTGCATTTAGAACCCAATCGCTAACCTTCAAAGATATCGACTCGGCGCCCACTGCATCAGCGCAAGCGCGAGCGCAGCAGCTCATTAACGCAGAGCTATCCCCTGAGCACGCCTCCACAATGCACCCCTGGATCCCGGAAGCGCCCGAACCCAGATTTTCTCAATTTATGCAACAAGAACTTGCGCGCAAAGCCCAAGGAGCACCTCTCACAGGCGGAATCGATCTATCCCGCTACGAAGCACCAGAGGCCCCGACTCGCGCATCAGACACCGAAACGCCCGACCTAGACGCATGGCGCCAGACTTTGCAGAGGGCATACTCGTCAAGCTCGCACCTATCAAAGCGCCACGAGAACCTGGCTCTGCTGGAAGAGCACGGCAAGAACGCTTGGTTGATTGGCAATTCACAGCTTGAGGAGATACTCGGTTCTCTTGAGAAGGAGTTGGCAGAGACGAAAGAGGCTTCTGAGGAGGTGAACAAGCAGAGGAAAATTGCACAGGAGGCGAGCCAGGGTGAGCTAGTCAATCTGGAGGAGACCTGGAAGAATCGTCTTGGCGCGATTCTCGATGTTGAGGTGGCATCCGAGAATTTGCGCATACAGCGTCTTGACCATATGCGTCAAGCAGCCCAGCAGCAGGCTCGCTAAGGGATAAATTTCGTCTTGTTTGTGTACTATCTTTCTGAAAATGAAAGCTTGTCATTCTAGTGACCTTCTGCTGGCCGAGGGATTCACGTTCTTGGTCGCACAGTCTGCTTGGTGGAACACTTGCCTAGTGGAGTGTCATGTGTGCGACTTGGGAGTTACCATGCCTTTGTTCCTTCGTCCATAAACACTTTGGGAAGTGACCTGTGTGTCGCTCTTGCTTTTTCACCGAGGACTTATGCTCGCCCACCCAGTTTATCAACACTGGGCTCTTGGTGTGTTTTGGCAGAGTGCCAGTGCCCACAATTATCGGCCTCGAGTTACGCCTTCCTATGGGGGTTTATCAATCCTCATACCAAGCTCCAACAAAAAAAAGTCTTTGCGTCCAAATGAAGATTGAGGAAGGAGACCGTGATATGGCCGGTACTGCTGGTCGGCTCCGGCTATTTCAACTTTGGAAGTTACAGAAGATCCTATCAGAGCCCTTCTCTCCAAATATGATTCTATTTCATGCCACACCGTGTTCCAATTTAGAACTAAACTCTTAAGATCAAGTATAGATTGAATTGCACTCCAGATAATGCTCATAAAAAAATAGCCGGGGACTGCTCTTCTACACAGGTCGAGTAGATCGATCAAACTCGAAGAATCCTTACAACACCCTCGGCGGAACCACATCAACGCCGTCTTCCGAAACCTCCACAGGTCCCAACCGCATCTTCTTCCCCATGACTTCAACTCCCTCGCTCTCAGCCTTCGTATTCCAATCCACGAGCCGCCGACACAGACCGTCCAGAGTGGTCAGAGGGGGGTTATAGCCTAACCCACCCATCTCAGGCGCCAGCTTCGCGCGCGAATCATCAGCAAACACATGAATATTGATAATGGAAAACAGTGACGGCTGAAGCTTCCCAATATCCCCCGACAACCTCGGCAGAAACCAAGAGAGATATTTGTACTGCAATAAAGCGTAGATCTCAACAAAATAAGCCATCACCAACAACGGCAAAGGTTGCACATCCGGAAACGAAAGCGGCGTTTTGGACAATGTCATGAGCAGTGTGTACAAATCGTCAAATGCAATCGCCGGGTTGGGGTCGCTAACTACGAACGCCTGTCCACCTGTGTTAGGGAGTTTCGAACCAGGCTCACTCTGCTGGATCAAACGCTGTTCGTACAAGAGGTGTGCGATCGAGACGTTTTCAGCATGCACGAAACTCTGCAGGATCGGACGAGCCCAGGTCGGACTGCCTCCGTTGCGGAGGTAAAAACCCGTGATGACATTGTTGGCTTGACCGCCTGTACCGTATACGCCGTTTGTCGGGCGGATGCAGCCGGTGCGGAAGTTAGTTGCTGGGTCATCTGCTGCACGGACGAGCTGCTCTGCTTCGAATTTGGTCACGGCGTAGTTCCCGAAGAATTCGTAGTGTGATTCGGGCAGTTTGGTGCTGTCGCTGATTACTTGGACTACGCGCTTCGGCTGGGTTGCCCATGGCGCGATCCAGAAAGTTGGCTGGTGTAGGGCCATGGAGCCCGATGATGTCCAGATGAAGGCTGTCGCGCCGGCGGCTTTGGCGGCGTTCAGGACATTCCGTGTGCCGTCGACGTTGACTTTGCTGCTGAGTGGTAGGAAGCTCTTGAGTCGGTCCTGGGGTCGGATTATGGCTGCGGTGTGGTAGACTGTTAGGGCGACATTGGTGACTTTGGCAGCCCATGGCTCTTCGAATGCTGTTGTCACTGCGAGCTCGTCGGTGATGTCGGTTTTGATCCAGCCCACGCCTTTGTTGAGGATGTCCTCTTCCGGGGAGATTAAGTCTAGAATGCGAATGGCCTTGGGGTCTTCGCCCCGTGCGAGGAGGTGCGAGACTATCCAAGCGCCAACTAGACCTGTAGAGTCAGTGGATTGATATGCGAAGCGAGTCGTATCTATACGTACCAGTTCCGCCTACGATCACATATCGCCGGGATTGTTTTGGTGGCAGGCTCTTGGTCACATCGATGGGAGTTTCCAGGCTCTTTTTATAAGCTGCTTTGATTTCCTCGACTGTCCAACGATGAGGTGATAGTTTCTGCGCTTCTTTGGGAACTGCTTTCATAGCAGAATTAACACGCCACATATAGAAAGCACCCAGTCCAGCTAGACCGGTTGCTATAATCGACGTCATGATAGTTGGGTAGTTACAGAAAGAAGACTTTTTTTTTTTTTTTCCCCGCAAGGTTGCAGTCTCACTGCGGGTTTTAAAGAAGGGTTACAAGGGAGTACAAAAAGTTTGCCATTTGCCATAAGGGCTGTTTGAAGGTGTAAATTGAAAGCAACCTGTCTTAGATGGGATACAGAAACATTGCGATCTAATCCAATCCATTTCGGCAGGTCGCTTAGATTGAGTATGTTACAAGCCAGTGAGAGGGCCTCATTTGGAGCAAAGTGCGGTGAATTGTCAAACCCAGGGGTTCCGTTTGTTTGTCGCTAATCTTTGGAAATAGTAAACCATCTGCAATTAAAAGTACCTAGTTATGTTGTAGGTAGGTTTTCTCATATATCTACAATCATCCTGTACTTTACAACTCGGCATTGGAACCCTTCCGCAATGTTAAATAGAAGTACAAAGTACAAAGTACGGAGTAGATAGATTAACTAGTTCGGATCAAGTTTCTTATTTTTCTTATTTTTCTTATTTTTCTTATTTTTTTTATTTTTTGTCCAGGCTTTTTCCCTGTTCCAGAGCCTTTGAGTCTTTGATATGGACGTCTGATATCTACTTAGTAGTACACTTTATAACTACAACATACAACAACAGTAGTTAGTTATAATATTCCCATTCTCACGGCAAAGTATTCGGCAAACCGGCACACTAGAGCCCAGGCTACGTACGTACAGCCCAGACTAAAATCCACATTTGCACCGCCTAACAGCCCGTGTGGAGACAATTTAGGTTGAAACACCCAATTTCTGTCTTGTTGTATGGAGATATCACGCCATGAATACAACATAGACCTTTTTGCCCATGGGGAAATCCCATGCCAAGGATTAGTAGGGTATAGAGAGGAGATATCAAGGAAATCTGGTCCCTAGGAAAAGTAAACTATCCTTCCGAGTTATATATCATATTCTCGGCATAGCGCAAGTCCTGCAAGCCGTGCAAGCCCAACTCGTTCTCGTCGAATATGCTTATCACTGTCTCTCGGCCCCACATTTGAGAAAAATTCCGAGTTTCAAGTGTTTTAAAATGATAAATGTCTCTGATTTCTATCTTCTGTTAGAATCTGTGTTCTGGAGAGCTTGAGGTTGAAACTCAACCCCTCGGCTTCGGGATTTCAGTCTCATTTGCTGCATTTCTACCGTATCTCTTTGAAGAAGTAGAGAACGACACACTCAACTACGGCCTTATTTCAGGGCCGAAACTGGAAAACAGAGCTTCTATTTCCCCTATTTTCTTCACTACAGCCCCTGATATTGGAGCAACTCGCTCATTTGA